CAATTTCATCTGTCTGTCCATTCTTTGAATGGGCTTCAAGTGATTTTTCATAATAGTCTGTAGCGATATTAGTATGATCCATTAAAATATGAATTAAGCCAAGATCATTATAAACAGCGGGAACGTGGTTGGTTTTGTTACAGTTAAATAGCTCTTGCTGTTCTTCTAACACTTGTAGATAGAAATGTTCAGCATTATAGTACTGGCCCATTTCTGTCAGTAGTGATCCAAGAGTATATAGCGGTGTTGCTTTAATGATATAATCTTTCATATATAGAGTTAATTTTTGAAGCTGTTCATCTTCTTCACTAGTTAGCTTTAGCTGCACAATCCAAAAGCCACTAGTCATCTCTTTCGCAGATTCAATAAGAAATACACATCCCATTGTAAATAAAACTTCTCTTTCATCCTTACCAAATTGACTTTCTTCTGAAACATCTGCAAATGGAAATTTGATCACGTTCTTGTCAATATCAATTTGAAATAGAACACTTTGTGCTTCATCTTCTTTACTGCCGTCCCCGGCAAAGAAGTTAGTCAGATTTCTATCGAGTGTTGTTGACAAAAATGTTTTTACAGAGAGAAATCCACCTTTATTTCGACGTATCTTCTTATCGAACTCTTCATTATTCATCAACTGTCCTCGATAAGCGGTTACTAGTGTTGTTGACGTCTGTTGCTGTGAAGCGTGTAACTGCTTTAACTGTAAATGAAGATCTTTAATAAAGTACCGTAATGAATAGAGCGTATTGACGTCCTGTTCTCGTAATGCCTTGTTTAAAAGGCGAAAAAGAAATGTATCACGTGTATACCAAAAGATTGCATTCATTGGATCATACCATTCTTCAAACTCATCGATATAGTTTAACTGTTTCATTATTAGCATACTGCTCACGACAGAATTGAACCATTTCTTTCTCACTAGATTCTACAGCGATCAAAATATCTCTTGCTAATATTGAATACATGAATTCGGCCTCTTGACGTTTGGTTGTGGTTTGACTTGGATAGGAGGATACTGTCGTGCTAGGAGATGAAGTATTAGAGTATAAATCCCACGAATTGTAGACGATGATACAGCACATTCTATATTACGTGAACAGATAATGTAAATCGATTCGATCTCTGGTACTTTATCAATAAAATCTGTGATAAGTTTCGTGTCAAAGTCACTATCGAATGAAATAATTAGACAGACTTTTTTGTCGTCATTCTGATTTAAGCCATTGATGTACTCAACGCACGTCTGTACACTTCGAAATATTTTCAAATACGATATAACTTTACTAAGTTGTACATGAATTACTCTGCTACTATCTCGGGAATTATCTGTTGTTGGATTAAGCCATATTGTAACGGAATCGTGTTCCATTATTGTTAAAAATGTTGCGTTGAACAGATTCAGAATTCAGAGGATCGATAATCGAGGGTAAGTTAACCTGAAAATGAGCAAAAACATCTTAGGGGTCATCTCTTAGGGTATCCTGTGACTCTGACTTAGCTCTTGATTTAGCCTCGCTTTCATTAAGAAGTCATTTATCCGAACATATTAACTTTTGAGTATTCTAAAATTTCAGACTCAAAATTTGAAGACAAAGCGCAGCCTTCAAGTTCTGCTACAATAGCTTCAAATCGAAAATGTTCTACTTATTTTTCTAATTGTTAAGCTGCATAGAACATCTGACTGGACTACATGCATCATTAGTAGTTTGCAGTAAAAAGAGCGCAGCAGCTGTTCGTTTCGTATTTGAAAGGGAAAAGGCTTTGGACAAAGAAGTTTTTTTGAACAAGTCACTGAAATAGAACTAAAAATATAGACGTCCACCAAATGAAACGAACATATGTGAAAAGCGATATTACGTATTAGAGAGAGCAGCTTGCGATGAATCAGTAACAGTTGTTCAAGTAATATGTTGAAGTTGGACTTTTCGGAGTAGTTAGTTCGCTGAATTATGCTTTTAATAAAAAACAAAATAGATAGATTTCGAACCAGTTTGTTTAGCCGAATAAAATGTAAACAAGGGAAGTGCGTGCTTTTTCTACAACATTTTAACTAAAATATAAAATAAAAAACAGTAGAACACGTTCTTTTTTTGTTCCGTTTTCTCTTGATTATTCATCGAAAAAGAATAAAAAAAAACTTTCAATTCCAGACATTCGTATTTTCGATAAAAGATGGAAACAAATATTACTCACTATATTTATCAATTTCTTGTGAAAGAGAAGAAAAAGCAAGGAAGGAAAGAAAAAAGCCATAAGAAGCAGAATCATTCGAAGAGTGACCCATATAAAGCTATCGTAAACTTAAAGAGGACACCAGAACTACTCAGTTAGTTTGTTGTCTGGATGCTACTCTAGCGCGTTGAAGCGGAGTTGATCAAAAACTCATTGTAGTCAGTATCTCTCTCTTTTTAGAGTGCTAGATAATTTGCTCAAACTGCTACAAAATTATGGTTTAAAGTTCTCCTTTAGTTTGAAATACAGAAAGAAAAACTACAAATATCGGATTTTTAATTCCTGAGAACAATAGTATTAGATTTTTTGCAACATTCAGCTTCTTTTCCGGAAAAAACTAGCACTCAAAAACCTTTTATTCAGTATTTTAGCGCAACCATTTAGAGCAGTTAAAACAAAATAGATAGGATATAGGATAATAAGATCCGAATAATAGGATCCTGCCGGATGAGACCCGAAATCTCCCACTCATACGAGTGTCCACTTCTGTCGTATGGTTAGAGAGTCCTGACCGTAGCGCACAAGAATCTGTCATTAGACCTTCTTCAAAACACCTGGGCTCAAGAAAAATCCAGCTTTTGGGATAGCACATTAGAAAATTTGGTGTTTGCTCCGCGCTGAACCAAATTGGATAAAAATTAGGCACCAGATGCAAAGTTTGTCGGTGAATCCGACAGCCGGTTCCTTATGATTACATCTTCACTTCTTTTTTGGCGTCGACATAATCAACGTGGTTTTTGCCTAAATTTTATTTTTCTCATTGGCGCCTTTTTTTCAACCAATGAGAAAAATAAAATTTAGGCAAAAAAACCACGTTGACTATGTCGACGCCAAAAAAGAGGTGAAGATGTAATTAAAAGGAACCGGCTGTCTGATTCACCGACAAATTTTGCACCTAGTGCCCAATTTGGTTTAGCGCGCAGCAAGCACCAAATCTTCTAATGACGGCTCATAATTCAGTAAATGTTATAACTCCAGAAATAAAGGATGTTTTCGCAACCGGCTTTTGCCATTAAACTCAGCATACTTTCTTGTACAAGCTAACATTAATCAGTGCCATTCTTTGTTTACTGTTGTTGAAAAAAGTTGACAAAAGAATCGAAAATCATATACGGGAAGAAGCATCATGCGTAGTAATTCTGTTATAATACACGGACAAGACTTCCCGCAAGCTCTATACTTTGCCAAAGACATTGTCTCATTGTAAGCAATAATTTAAACCTATTTCTAGCAGAAAATATTTTATCTAAATATACACTGCTATTGACTTTTAACAGAGTGTTTTTCTATTATCACCTATCTTTTTCCACATTTTGTGTTATGTATAGTCTAAAACTAATGCTAGATTCTTAAACACTAAATAAAACTGAACCAGATAAGGTATACAGACGGGTTTTGAGTTTGAAGTCTTTTTCAGTTTATAATACTTTAAAGAAAGAAAAATATTTACAAAAAAATATTTTTCGAAGTAAGCACGCACACATATAGAATACGTGATAGAAATCTTCAGATAAGATACAGTGATCTTTTTCTTAATCATATTTATCGCACAAGTAGAAGTATCGAAACAATATTCGAATATTCTAAAAGTACGATGTACGTCCTTGTTATTTGTAAAATGCGGAAGAAGCAATGTGTTAGTGGCTCAGAATGGGTAAATAATTGTCGTAATATATCTCGTTCTGAAACGTACAACTGGCATCAGCAGTATCTTCGGTCCGAAGGAAAAATATTTTTAACACCAATCATGGTATTTATTTGTGTGGCACTTATGGAAGAGCATTGTATGATATAAAAAGAAATTCAGTTTCTGCTAACCGAGATTCAGCTAACCCTGATCTTGATGAATACATGAATACAGAATACAATTACTTATTAACAATTGTTCCAATTATCCAAGCAAGTTCAGGGCACAGGCACTGTATATCAAAATTTGATGTTTTTTTTCTAGGGACACGGAATTTTTGAAACTTAGATATTCGGAATCAGCACAACAAGTTACGTTGGATTTGTTGGAGGCATGAAGAATACTTGCTGTTGTGGTTGTTATTTCCGAAATTGTTGTTAGAAGTTCTAAACGAGAGATGATGATAGCGTCGATTATAAATACTGTGAATATGCTATTTATGAAATTTTAATGGTTGGCAAGTTTCACAAACGTGGTATTGGATAAAAGAAGTGAAGATGGCCTTGATCAGGATCAAGGAGAAAACACTTTATACACGTGGCTCAGTTAATGACTTGTTGCAACCATGAACTTCATAGTGTAGATGAAAAGAAAGTGTATGAACAAAGAAAGTGTAGATGGAGAAAATAAAATAATAAGATGTATATCAAGTATCTATAGTCTGCCGCTTTTAGTATTGATCGGAGTTATCAACCGAATGCTTCTATATACTTAGTGTGTTTGTTGTTGATACTGTACCTTGCGTCGTCAAGATGCATTGCTTACGAGGGGACCCCTTGAGGCGTCCCCTTCCGATTTCCTTCGTTCATATGCCATTCGATAGGTCATATGGAGGTATGAAAAAGCCTAAGAGGAATAGTGCGCAATTTGCTTCCTTCAAAAGTTAGACGCATTTTTCTAATTTTCCTAGTGGAAAACCCAAGAAATTGAAAAATCCATAACTCCGTCAAATTCAAGAGTATCCGCTTGGAACTTTCACATATGATACCTACCTTAATCTAGTATTTACGCTGTAAGTTTCAAGCCTCGAATGCGTTTCCTTGAGGAGATATAGAATTTCTCATTTTTCAAGGTGTTATTGTGAGTTTTACCTCATCGCTTGAGTGTTATTTGCGCTTATCTTTATGTTCAGCATTTAAGAACTTTTTTGAGATACTGGCGCTCACCCTAATGTCTATCCCCCTTCGATGACAGAAGATGTCGCAAAACTGCCGGAGAGAAATTTTTCAATTACGAACATCAACCTTTTATTGCTACATGAACTATGTACAAACTTTAAAATTTTCAAAATGAAAATCAACTTTTTCTAACAAGTAACAGACTTAAATAAAAAATATTAGAGTTCAGTGATAATGGTAACTATCAAAAAACTGGTAAAACAAAAAACCTTCGAACAAAATGTACATTTAATAAAAGGAATATTTGTGCAATTCTGTGTATGACATCGATTTGACTCGAACGTAAAACAAATCTGTTGCACATTATCGAATGTTCCTGGATTAGTCTTGACATATCCTGATTGATATCAGCTGTAACGAGTCATAGGCTGAAACTTTGGGGCGCTGATCTGATTGTATGCCAGGGAGTTCAGTTTAATAATATTATTTCTCTGTGCCAGATTCAAATCGAAATCGTAAAGACGGACGTGATCGTAGGCTTGACGAATAATGTGTTTATACTGTCTAATCCAGTACACTATTTGGAAGTGAAAAAAAGTTTCGGTTAAAGATTTTATGAAAGTATGAAAGACCAGGACAAATAATGTAGCAAAAAATAGAGGCGTAACATAGGCAAATAAAACTTTAGCAACATCTTCAATGGATGACTTACCGTCTAGTGGTTGGATCATGGAAGTCGTTTTCTTGGGGATTTCAAGACGCTCTAAATTTTTTACTTTTTCATAGTGATTAACGTCTCTTTCGCCTCCCCAATAGTCGGATAATAAAAGACATTTTTTGTCTTTGACTGTGGGTTGAAGCACCTTATCAACCCAACACTCAACTAAAACAAATATAATGACATAGCGAAATTGCAAAAAAATTTCAACTTTCAGCGACAGTTCAGATGAACGACTTACCGAGGCTGGTAATCAACTTGCCCGATTTTGAACACGTTACAACTACATTGTCTGCTTGAAACAGACTCTTTCTAACTGGGTCGCTCAAGTGACCGGTTGGTTCTTTCAAGCAGAGAAAAATCGGACCGACACAGTTGCCTTCCATTGATATGAGAGGCTGAACGGTATACGAATGAGTTGTGTTGTGGACAGATCGAACTTTTGCTACGGTAATTTTCTCGGCTTCAAAGGAGAGTGTATGATTGGAATGCATTTCCAACTGCAGACCAGACTGATCAGTATTGAGCACTAATTCGGGTTTATATTTTGGTATTATTTTTTGTACTTTGACAACGAAATCGTCGGCAGATTTATTGATGTTATCCGCGTTTTCCGTTTCTCGTTTTGTCACGAGTTTCGTTACGTGTCTTGAACAGATGCCGTGACGATGTTTAAATAGATTCAGCCAATTGTCGCTGACACAGAATGTTTGGTCGTCTAGCTCTCGTGCTTTTTTTAACGCTTGCCTCTTCAAATCAATGTCATGTACAAACGACAAACTTTCACGTGCATTTTTAAAAAACTCGTATGTTGCGTCATCAATTTCGTCTAATTTCTGCTTTTTCGTGCCACCTGACTCAAGATATTTCCTGAAACGAGGGATATATCTTTTATTTGTCACACGCCTGAACTTATTGTGAAAGGCTTGCCAGGAATGGCTCCGTTTTTCCGTTTTCGGGTTTTTCTCGTCGTAATACTCCACGGCTCTTTTCATGTACTGAAGGGAGAAATCGTACTGTAAACGATGATCCTGAACGTCTTCACCTTCATTGGCGTGACTGTTATCTTCCTCCTCCTTTTGATCGCGCTTTCTTGCTCGTCACTTTCTTCATCGAAATTAGAATCAAAATCTAATGTTTTTTCAGACTCGAAACTGTAATGTGTGCAATTTAAAATCGATTCGAGGCTGTGGAACAAATTCTTTGCTACATCTTCGTCACGAGGGAGTAGTTTTGTAATTAAATTTGACAAGATTAGGTGCACATTATGAGGATTGATCATTTTGTTTTTTGCTTTGCTCTTTTAGTAAAGTTGGTATCGAACGAGATAAAGAAAACACTCGAGTAAGGCCTTTTTCTCTCTGTGCTTCTCTATTACTAATTACTATTTTGGTGTTTTTGTTATTTTTCACACGACAAGCACATGCTAACTGTCAAGAAGCCGTTAGATTTGTCACAAGACTAAAATCAGCTGATTAGAGAGGTGTCTGAGGGAAAAACACAGAAAGCTGTTATTTCGCAATAAGAACGACAGTTATTCCTTGAAAAATGAAAAATTCTATATCTCCTCAAGGAAACGCATTCGAGGCTTGAAACTTACAGCGTAAATACTAGATTAAGGTAGGTATCATATGTGAAAGTTCCAAGCGGATACTCTTGAATTTGACGGAGTTATGGATTTTTCAATTTCTTGGGTTTTCCACTAGGAAAATTAGAAAAATGCGTCTAACTTTTGAAGGAAGCAAATTGCGCACTATTCCTCTTAGGCTTTTTCATACCTCCATATGACCTATCGAATGGCATATGAACGAAGGAAATCGGAAGGGGACACCTCAGGGGGTTCCCTCGTTCCTTTTTTCTTGTGTACACATCTGCTTAAAGGTATTATGTCTCATCCACATTTCTTTAGTCACACAGCATAGCATACTATCAAAGTGCAAGTGGAGAACGGATTCGTAGAAAGCAGCACGTATCCGAAGCTCGGAAATTCTGAAAAATAGGATAAGCTAAATCTGGTTGGTAAGTATAATAAAATAAGAAAAATTAACCTGAAATAGTGAACCAGAATCAGTTGTTCAAGCCCTATCGAATCCCACGTGTTTTATTTTCTCAAACTATCGACGAAAACTGGAAGAGAAGAAACTCCAAATTCATTGTGGCACGAATAACAAGCTTCCACAACTGTGACCGTCTGCCAAAATTCTTTTCTCGAATCTGATCCTTGTCATTTATATCTTCAAGTAGTATGGGACCATCACTGGTAAAATGACCGAAATATAGGCTCTTTCATTTCTCGTGACATCCCTGCTGGAGACCAGACTGTTTTATCAGAAGTATTTCGTATTTTCCACACTATTCTGGTAGAAAAGTTTTAAAGTAAATGCCAGATTCATGATCTATGCGAAGCCCTGTGTCAAATGAAGTATTCAACATGCGTTTCACAAACAAAGAAAATCTATCAAAAATTTTCTCTTTGGTTCTCTGAAGCGATTCTTTTGAAAAAATTGTTTATTATCGCTCACCTATACAGAAAGTGATAGCTTCTGTAAGGTCACCAAAATGGAATCATTTTCTTCTACCTTCGCCGTAAATCAGATATCCTACATGTGATACAGTTTTGAAGTCAGCTGCTCTTGGTCGCAATCGTCGACTGTTGAAAACTACCTAACTTTCTCGGACAATGGTTTGTGGTGCATGCGCACATTACACATTATACGAAAGCTAAGACGTTTCCAAGGAAAATTTGATTAAACTCCAAACTCTCCAAACTATCTTTTTCCAAATCTCTGCGAATCACCGACTAGTTCGCTGGACCTCACCGATACCTGGTGTCAGCAAGGACGTTGTCATCGAGAATGTCGTCGGCGAGGATGTTCTTGATGATGAGTTTGCTTGTCGTATTATTTGATCGGATTGATTTATGGCCGTTGTTATTGCTTGCTCGACTACCGTCACACTTTGGCTAATAATAGTTTCAAATTCTTCATCACTGGGAAACGGTTCATTTACTCCATCTGCTACCAGTACGTGAATACTACTGGCACCAGCCTTAGTAGCATATGCTTTCTATGAGTGAATGCAGACCTGCATTATTACTCACAGTTTTATCACCGGTCGTTCGAACATCATTAACACATGAAGTTCTCAAGTTCTCAATCATCACCGGATTAACTGTTAAATTCAATTGTAGAGTTGAATTAATTGCTTGTTTCATAAACGTCTCACAGATTTGTTCAGCACTTTGAACTGTAATTTCTTATTCAATTGTTGAATTTTCTGTGTTCAGCCGATTCTGTTGACCATCGGCATATTCCAACTCACACTCATCAGGTGGAACCACACACAGCCCCTCCGATGTGTGTATTAAATCGAATCGTTGATAAATACTAATGTCATAGAACAAAGACTAAAATAACAACACTGAAATGAATTGTGTGCGGGAAAGTATATAATCAAAGCAGATATGCACACATTTGGATGTTGACGTATTGTTATTCGTAATCCAATGTTTCTTTAAATGAGATCCGTCCATTTGTATCATTCGACTTTGTTATAACTATTGCGCTACCTATTTTAGCAGTTAAGAATTCCTGCATCAGTAAAGGTCCTTCCCTGTTTGCTATGGATAAAAGGAAAGGAATACAAGTTTATTTGGAAGATGCAGCTGGAAAATGGGGAGATTTTATTTCGGTCTAATCTGCTCTATATGGTAGGGGCCTTCACAATCTTTCTTATAGGCACTCCGAGCCTTTATCGTTTGTTGAACGAAATATTGCGTGAGGAAACGAGTAGGCAACAACTGGAACCATGAATTTGCTATTTGAGATTGTTTTTAACAGCTCTTCTTAAATTATCATCTAAACAAAGAACAAAATGGCGTGGTGTTAGAAAAAATTTAAGTAACAGTATGAATTTGGTCAATGAGAAACATACTGGGGCTTTTGTTCGTGTACAGGATCGGAGAACTTTCTAGGATAATTAGGCACACGTTCGGGAAACACGACTTATTACATCGGTGTTACACATTGTGTGAAAAGTCATACTTACTAAGGCTGTTATCACACTGATTTCCCTTATTGCTGGTTAGTGTACAAAAAATTGCTCCTGATTCATTCTTAAATTTGAACTCAAACTAAAATTAATTTCAACATATTAATCAACAAAATTAATTACAAACATAAAAGAACGCCTCTATTCTCTTTATGCTATTATTCGTTCTTCTCAGTATAGTATTTGTGAAACAATACATTCTTTATATTTAAATAGGCGAGTACGGCAATAGCACAGGTGTCTGTCACATTCAAGGCGACCCTCATTTGTTGATGGTTCCAGAAAAGCCCCAAGATGAGCGAGCACAATATTGGTGTCGACTACCCGGTGTACATTTGTTGTTGCGCAATAAATATATTGAAGCAAGGGTTA